CATTGTGAGGTGTCTTTCCTTCCGTTTTCAAGCATTTGGCCGACCGGTCAAAAACCCCAAGAAGTTCGAGGAAGGAATTTTCTCCGACCTGCGCAACCTGAAGTCGGGCACAGATGCATCACTGGAAGAACCCAAAAGCCCATTTTTGGACTTTTTGTACAAGAACAATTGCATTCGGACGCAAAAGAAACAAAAGGTCTTTTACTGGTACAGCGTACCCCATGACCGCCTATTTCTCGATGCCTTGGAGAGAGACCTAAAGCGCGAGAAGATGGGTCAAGAGGCGACAACGAAAGCTGTAGCGGAGCCAGCGCTTTCATTCGAATTCGACTCTTCGCAGTCGCTGTTCGAGCAACTCACAAAGGCTCAGCAAGCTAGTTCATCGTCGTTTGCAACCGCAAATGCAAATGTGAACTACTCCCAGTCGACTTCGCCCGTCTTACGAGCAGCGGACTCAATGCCCCCTCCAATGGTGCCTCCTCAGATGCCACGCTCTCAGGAGCAGCCGCAGACCATGTATACCAGCATGAGCATGCAAAATAGTCTCCCAACCCCCCTTTCCACCACGGCGATGTCTCGAGAGCCGGATTTCTCTCAGGTCGCCTACGATCGCGCACACATTCGCCATGCCTCCATGCCCGCATATATGGAGTACTCCCCAGCTCCCTCATTCGTATCCTCACACTTTGAGGACTATAGCACTCGCGGCCTCTCATATGAACCTATTACACCTCCACAACATGCCATGCATGGCGCCGAGCCTGCCTATATCGCCAACGAGGACACTGGCCTTTACTCTGCTATCCCAGAGATGCAGCCGATGCAATCTTACAATCCCATGGCTTCATTGCCACCTTCTACTCTCGCAGGGCCACTTCATGTAACTGCACCCCGACCGTTTCCCCCTACAAACGTCTACTCTGTAATTGAGGGATCTCCGACCTACAAAGCAAGGAGACGGCGCTCGTCGATTCCATCGTCCATCATGAATGCGGTGGCTGCTAATGCCGTTGCCCAAGTTACTCACGGAATCAAGACACATCTCCCTCAAAGGCCAAGCGATCTTCGTCGGTCTATGTCGAGCTCTGTCTTGCCTATTGCGGAAGGCGATGAGTCCGGGGACCAGTCTCCCCCTGGCCTTGCCCACAGCTACGCGTCGTCAGTTGTCAACCGTGATCACGTAACTGATTTCTCCCGGCGAAGCACGCCGTTACCAAGCCTCGAGGAAGACCCGACACACTCGCTTGGGATGTCGGCTGGCACTGAGCCTATGCCAAACCTCATGGGAGACGATATGCACATTCACTCGCTGCAAGCTAGCCCCGCAGTCCGGTTAGAGCGGCCAGGTCCCGTTCGCAGAGCACGAAGTGCAACCATGATGGAACTTGGTGTACCCTACAAATCCCACTCATGTCCCATTCCCAGTTGCGGGCGGCTTTTCAAGCGCCTCGAACACCTCAAGCGGTATGCCTGACTCTCATGTAACCTGGTTTATGCGCTTACCAACACGGGTTTCTTAGACATGTTCGAACTCACACTCAAGAACGTCCCTACGTCTGCCCTTACTGCAACAAAGCGTTCTCGCGATCCGATAACCTGGCCCAGTAAGCACACACTTAACCCGAGTCTCTTGCGTCTAAATTAACATTCTATAGACACCGTCGAACTCATGAATCTCAACAAGATGGTCAACCTGCTCCTGTGACCAGCGAAGAAGAAATGGAGACCGAAGAGAACGATTTCGGATCCATGGACGAATTATCGTCCCCGGATGAAGTTACCCGCCCAACCAGCGTGTCTGGCATGATGGCTATGTCTATGCCACCTCCCTCAACGCTGGTCATGCAACCAATGACCTCTCAGCCAATGATGGCCCCCAGTCAACTTGTTCAACCCTCGATGCTGCAGAACCTGTAGACTTGAGACATGCATGTCAGCAGCCTAGTGATTCACCTGCGGGACCGGAAAAGGAGATTCTTATGCTTTTATTGTTTTTGCCGCGAGTGCCGTCTGATACCTGGAAAGGAAACGCGACCACGCGCATGACGACCCAGAGCCCGATGCATTTGGGAGGTTACGAGGCGGCGGGCAATTGGTGAGGTCTTTTGATGTTGGACAGCGCCCTCGACAGGAAGCTGAAGGGTTGCATTCTTCCCCTTGTATTTTGTTCCTCATCTTGTGTAAGAGATGAGAAGAGTCATCTCTGTCACTTATGAGGGCTTGAGCTTTGGCGATCTGCTGGACCAACTGTACATATAGCCGCATTTATTTATGTTTCATCTAACCTATGAAAAGGGGACTAAAACAATACTTTTTTTTTTTAGCGTCGAATCAATCTTTCTATTTCCTTGTAATATTCATATTCGGCATGTCCTTTTCAGACTTTGGAGCATCGCTGCAGGGCTTCTACTCCCCAGCTCTATAACGCAGGTTTATGAACCGAGGCCAGAGGAAATTCACGCCAGATCCGGGCACTCCTTTTCTACAAGAATTGCAGCTGGCGTCAGTCTATGGACCCTCATATGTATCGCGTATCGTGGCGTAAACCGAAATGATCCTGCCCATTGCTACATTTCTGCCTTCTATCTGCTGGTGAATATGGCGACTGGCGGAATCGGTAGTGTTGAGAGATTGCACTGGACGGACGACACCCTTTGGCGAGATGGACTGCTTTGATGGCCGGCAAATTGAATAATGTCCTGAGCTTACAGCTGGGCATGAGCGGTAGTTATCCAATACATATCATCCTATAGGCCAAGGAGGAGTAGTGGTGTCGGTCGTCCACCCCAAGGGGAATGCTCCGAATATTGTGACCCTTCCTCATGTCCGTACACCACTACCTCGTCTCCCCACAACGACTTGATTGTCCTGGTCATCCTCATCAGAATCATCGCGGAATCCTTCCTCTAACTCTCGACTTAGTCGTCGGTTCGAGTCCGATTCGTGTTGTCCTCCCAAACCACCGCTGCGACTCACAGTCCTGGTGGCAGCATCCATGTTGGAAACTTGCCTCTCCATGGCATCTCGCCTGCGGTTCCGCTCCTGAGCGTCAAATCCCACCATCGCCTCACCGGATTCTTCATCAAAGAGAGTGCCGTCGTCTGCGCTAACAATGCTGTTTGACCGGCCGTGTGAGGTCCGAAACGCCCATGTTGAGGGCATAAAAATTCGGGTAAAGAGTGCTGGTAGCATGTTGCGGAGCTGAGCAGGTATTACCGAGTTGAGGACGCGGGTGGAGAGAGAACCGGAGGCGGACTGAACAGACTCGAGCGGCAGAGGCAGGTATTGTGAATACCGCGCACGATGGCGGCGATACAGAGGCAGCAAGGCGTAGAAGACCACGAGGTAGAGGATCAGGGAAATGAACAGAGGAAGGAGAATCGTCTGTACCACCGGTCAGTCCTGTCAAAACTCCCGCTTGCTTTCAAATAGGAACTCATACCCTGGAGAAGTTCAAGAAACCCGACCCAGCCATCGTGCTGTCGGCGACTGTGGTGCTGACAGGAGCTGGCGGTGCGTCTTCGGTGTTAACGATCGTGCTGGGCAGCGAGCGCCTCAAGAGGGAACCCATTTTCACGCCGCCATGTTCGGCGGCAGATAGGGAATGGGAGGGCAGGTCGCGGTATATACACGGAAGTGGTATGGAGTGAGGTGTCCAAAGGTAGTGCCCGTCGTGAGATTAGCCCGCAGCCAAATCTGGCAAGCTTGGTGTCCAGACCGTAGCCAGGAGGAGGGGCTGTTCGTCGGTTGGAGGCGAATCGGTAACTCTCTCAAGGTGTGGCACGGGCGCCTGAACACTTGTCCAATCTTGTCCTCTGCGGTGTCTTCGTAGGGTCTTGTCTGTTTGCAGCAGTTGTCGAGCGGGCACAAGCGTTAAGTATTAGACCTTGAAAGTCAAGAGTCCGGGACACGGGTAGCAAAAGATTCCGAGGACACAAAGCGACTGTGATGACTGGGACATCCATCTCAGGGAAACTCCGTGCCTAAGTACAGTACATTGGCATGGTGTATCGCGTGCATGAGCAGGAGTTGAGATTGGCTTAGCTGAGGGATTGAGTGAAAGGGATGGAAGGCCACGTACCCGGTTAGTGGGTGATGATCCCAGGTGGAAGAGCCTAGGGGACGTCTGTGGTGGGCATTTAGTGGGCATGCCCCCCCTACTGTCCGCCAACTGGGGGCAGCCGTTGAACATGGCTATTGGTCCCTTGCGCTACCGCCACGGCCGCTTAAGCAATCAAGTGCACCGAGAACACCGCCAAACATGATTGTTGATTCAACCCCTGGCAGGAAGGCACCAAGCACCTGTGGCGCCCACCAAACTAAATCCACAACGCCCTAAAACTAAGGACAAGTTGAGATCCATCATTTGCTGGCCTGGCTGGGTGGTTCTTGGACGGGTCGGGAGACTGCGATGCACACCTGACGGGGCTCTGGTACGTTTGATTCATCGTCCACCATCATCACCACCACGATTCTTGCCCTTACAAACTTCTTGGACAAATGACGACCACCTGAGCGGTGGTGTTGATGTGTCCTTCGTCTTCGTTTGCGAGCCAGCGTTCTTCCCTCTCGCTTTATCCGGTCTTTTTTCGCTCGCCTTCACTTGGTTACAGCGCTCACTGACGTCCGCAGCCAATAAATACGCCATTTCATTGTCTGCACCAGCGCCCAATTGTTTACCGCCTCGCCAGCTGAACGATTCTGATTCCTCTTTGTTCGACAGCATCTTGCGACGGTTTTGGCTAGCACACGTGCTCGCCGCGTTGCAAGCCGATATCTCTTGGATTGGACTTAGGTGTATCAGTCTCAGAAGGTGCAGGGCACCATGCAAGGATAGGACCCGCCAACCGCAGCCGAATCCGAGAGCGTCACAGAATCAGGACTATTTGGAAAAGAGGAGGAGAAAAGTCTCAAAGAGGTGGACTTTCCCAACTTGGGGGCCATAACGATCGCATCTAGGTACACATGCGTCCTGTTAGCCTGCCTGTGCGCCACCGAGTATGCCCCAGATAATCCAGAACGACAAGACGACCAGACAGTCGTCCGCGAGCAAAGGTTTTTTTAGACGCAATCGAGATACAAAGGCCGATAGTCGACACGAAGGAAGCGGTAGTCTCGATTCCTCCCACACGAACGGCTCCTGGGGCTCCCGCCATTCGAAAAGAGAGTCGGTAGCCTCCAACGATGGCCAAGATCCTGATAACTTAGGTCTGGCCATGACCGCCGGGGTCATCACCTCCATCCCTTACTCTGCCACGACGACGGGTGGGCAAGCACCAGTGACGGTGGATTACCTTCCTAGAGATGACCAAGTACCAACCCGAAAAGAGCCACAACCGTACCAACTTGCGAGAGGGTCTGATTTTCATCAATACCCTGCCATCAATGGAATATCAAACGGGTCATCACACCCAACTGGGCCCCGACCGCCTCCCCAAGCAACCACTGCAAGTGGTATTACAATGGCGTCTAGCCAGGCTGGGGATCGAGGCACAAAATATCAACAATGGGGACGGCCAGGAAGCAGCAACGGTCCCCAGCACTCCACTTACGACTCGGTATCAACGAGCGACTCATACTCTGGGTCGGGACAAAGGAGGTCGTTTGACGGTGCCAGTATAAAGTCAAGTGCCTCCACAGCCACACGAGGTTCTAGTCTGTTTTCCTCGGACAACTCGTCACGAACTGCAATGCCTCACCGGCAGGATTCAGACTCCTCTGTGACCGTAATTTCTCCTACACATTCGAGACTTTCAAAGATCAGTTCACATTCGGGCTGGCCCACTCAGCAAGCCCCGCCGTTCAGCTCAACTACTTCCTTTACTCCAGCCGGGTTTTACCTTCCGAAACCTCAGAGTGATGCAGAAATTGAAAAGTTGTTTCTACAGTTGATGCACAAACGTGGTTGGCAGAACCTTCCCGAGCAAGCAAGGCGACAGATGATGGCATATGCACCCGCAAAGAAATGGACTCTCGTGCATCAAGACAAATTGACTGAATGGCAAGGTGAGCAGAAAAGGAGGCAGCAAGCAAAGCTGACCCCAGATGGCCCGATACCTAAGGACGTCGAGGGCACTCCCGAGTGGTATGTCAAGAGGATTTTGGACAACAGCATTACGGCCAAACAGTTACAAAGTCTGAGTGTCAGTCTACGAACCCAGCCCATCATTTGGGTTAAGGCGTTCATCGAAGCACAGGGACAAATCGCCTTGACTAGTGTCCTCATGAAGATAAACCGGCGTCAAGCTAACGGCCCGACGCCCGTCAGTTCTATTACTTCGACCGACAAGGACTTGGACAGGGAATATGACATTGTCAAGTGTCTAAAGGCGTTGATGAACAACAAATACGGTGCTGATGATGCTTTGAAGCACGAGCAGATACCGGTTGCTCTCGCGACGTGTCTCATTTCTCCCAGGCTTACCACGAGGAAACTGGTTAGCGAAGTTTTGACGTTCCTTTGCCACTGGGACCAAGGCCAAGGCCATCTAAAGGTGCTGCAAGCCATGGACTTTGTCAAGAACCAAATGAGCGAGAACGGACGCTTTGACGCTTGGATGCGCATTGTCGAAGTTACCATAGATGGCCGGGGCAAAATGGGCAGCCTGGTTGGGGCAAGCGAAGAAGTCCGGAGTGGTGGCATCGGTATGGAAAACCTTCTGATGGAATATGCTGTGGCCACGCTTGTCCTGATCAACATGTTGGTGGACGCTCCTGACCGGGACTTGCAATTACGATGCCACATCAGAGCTCAGTTCATTGCTTGTGGGATCAAGCGGATACTGGTGAAGATGGAGTCTTTCCAGTACGACGTGATTGATAAACAGATCGCGAAGTTCCGTGAAAATGAGGCGATCGACTACGAGGATCTGCTCCAGCGTGAAGGAAGCAGCATGGTCGAGAGCATTGAAGGGGAGGTCAAGGATATGACGGATCCGATGCAAATCACAGACGCCATCATGTCCAAAGTCCACGGCACACGAACCCAAGACTACTTCATCTCGGCCATGCAGCACATGTTGTTACTTAGAGAGAACAATGCCGACGAACGATTGAGAATGTTTCAGCTCGTGGACTCGATGCTCAGCTACGTGGCCATGGATAGGCGGCTGCCAGATATGGATCTCAAGCAGAGCCTGAACTTCACCGTCCAGAGCTTGCTGGATCGCCTGCATACCGACGACGAGGCCAGAATCGCTTTTGATGAAGCCACCGAGTCGAGGCAAATCGCCGAAGCTGCCCTTGCCGAAAGGGATGAAATGGCTGCTCAGATAGCCATGGGTGCTAATGGCTTGGTCAAGAAGCTGCAGAAGCAGATCGAAGAACAAGCTGGCATCATTGAGATGCAGTCGAGGCAGGCCGAGTCTCTTAAGTCGGAGGTTGCTGAGCTGCAACGAATCCGAGCCCAAGAATTGCAACGCAATGAGTTAGAGACGCGAGAGCTTTATCTCATGCTTCGGGACGCCCAGGATGTGGCGGCTTCACGAGCTGCCAAAGAAGGCTCTGTTTCTCAAGACCCTGCTCAATTGGCAGGTATTCTGGACCGGGAGAAGTTGATGGAGCGCCTGGAACGCAACCTTGAGCGAACCAAGACACAATTCAAACTGGAAGGCAAAGTTTGGGGCCAGACAGGGCCTTCCGATCGACTTAGAGAGCTTCGTGAAAGGATGGACGACGCAGTTGATGCCGATTTCCAGGAGCAGACACGGCGACATCTCACCAACAGCGTCATGGGCAGTGTCCATCGGAGCAATGCCCATAAGGGCCCCCGGAGAGCTGCAGTTGAGGCCCTCGCGATCAGCGAAGAAGCAGAGCAGGATTCAGATATGGAAGAAGATGTCATCTTCGAGAAGCCGCGACTTGTCGAGTACAAACGACCCAAGATCTCCGCCGAGCAACAAAACCAACAGAGCAATCTTCTTGACGAACTTGCCTCAAAGGTCAAGAAGATCGACGACGAAATCGACGAGGTCGCAGGAGAAGGGGACGATGCTGGTGTTACAACTGGACCAACCCATCCGAGCCTTGAGTCCGAGTCCCCCAGGACTCCTCTTGACGAGGGACAAGCACAGCAGCCTACAGAGGAGGCCCAATTCAATGGGCCTCCTCCTCCGCCGCCTCCTCCACCCCCTCCTTCGTCTGCTTCTTTGATCGCCGGGTTCGAAACAGGAGCGCCGCCACCTCCACCGCCACCACCACCTCCACCCCTCCCCGGCATGCCCATGTCTCCTGCTACGCCATCCATGCCAGGCTTCACTGGCGGCCCACCTCCCCCTCCACCGCCTCCTCCTGGTTCTCTACCTATGAGTCCATTGTCACCCATCCCCCCGCCACCCCCTCCCCCCCCGGGTGCTCCAGCTCTACCTGGTGCTCAGCATGGGCATTTCTTACCTCAGTCTCCTGTGCTGCCTGTGCCTGTGCTTAAGAATCCAATCATGCGACCGAAGAAGAAACTCAAAGCCTTCCACTGGGACAAAGTTGACACGCCTCAAGTAACTGTTTGGGCAGAGAATGTGAATCCTGAGTCCCGGGAAGAGAAGTATCGCGAATTGCAGCGCAAGGGTGTCCTTGATGAGGTTGAGAAACTGTTCATTGCGAAGGAGATCAAGATCATTGGCGGAGCAGGCAGCAAGGGTAAGAATGACAAGAAGCAGATCATCAGTAGTGACATGATGAGGAACTTCCACGTCTCGATGGCCAAGTTCAAAAATGATTCGGCGGATGAGGTGGTTCGGAAGATCATTCAATGCGACAAGGAGGTCTTGGACAACAACGTGGTTATGGATTTCCTTCAAAGAGAAGATCTTTGCACCATTCCCGAAAATATCGCCAAACTCATGGCTCCCTACAGCAAAGACTGGACCGGGCCTGACGCCTTGACTTCGAAGCGAGAGCAAGATCCATCAGAGTTGACAAGAGAAGATCAGATCTACCTCCAGACGGCCTACGAGTTACACCACTACTGGAAAGCTAGAATGCGTGCGCTGGCTTTGACACGAAGTTACGAGCAAGAATACGATGAGATTTCCGGCAAGCTGAAGGATGTTGTCAATGTTTCGGAGGCTATTCGCGACTCAACTTCTCTCATGAGCGTCTTGGCCCTCATTCTTGATATCGGAAACTACATGAACGACTCAAACAAACAAGCCTCTGGCTTTAAACTGAGCTCCCTTGCGCGACTCGGCATGGTAAAGGATGACAAGAATGAAACCACGTTCGCCGACCTCATTGAACGCATCGTTCGCAATCAGTATTCTCAATGGGAGGGTTTTGTGGAGGATATCGCTGGTGTCATTACTGCGGCCAAACTCAACGTTGACCAATTGCGACAAGACGCAAAGAAGTACATTGACAACATCAAGAACGTCCAGTCTTCACTAGACGCTGGCAACTTGAGCGACCCTAAGAAGTTCCATCCTCAAGATCGTGTTGCACAAGTCGTACAAAGGTCGATGAAGGAGGCAAGGCGCAAGGCAGAACAACTCCAGCTCTTCCTGGATGAGGCGTCGAGGACATACGATGACATTATGACCTATTTTGGAGAAGATAATCAAGACGAAAATGCCCGCAGAGAGTTCTTCGGGAAACTGAGTGGCTTTGTGACGGAATGGAAGAAGTCACGCGAGAAAAACATGGCCATGGAGGAGAACAAACGACGTCTTGAAGCCAGTTTGGCTCGGAAGAGAGCTCAGGCGAGTGCCACCGCCAGCAGTGCCGCAAGTGGCGCCGAAACACCAGGTAGTCCACCGGCCAACGGTGCTATGGAAACCTTACTCGAGAAACTTCGAGCTGCGGCACCACAAGTGAAAGACCAACGTGACCGAAGGAGACGGGCGAGGTTAAAGGAGAGATATGATCAAAGAGTCGCCAGCGGCCAGCAACTTCCCGAACTTCAAGTTAAGGACGGCGTGGAAGAGAGTCGCGGTCTTGCTGGTGCGGGAGAGAAAGCCAACGAAGATAGTCTGAGTACAGATGGCACCAGCGGCAGAGGGGACGTCAGCGAAAGCGAAGATGTCGCCGATCGGGCTCTGAAGGCCCTGCAGGAAATGAGAAGTTCGGCCCCCTCAACCGGCGACGAGCTCGATGTGCGTAGGAGGCGTGAGGGAGCCGATGAAGAACGCAAGGCCCGGCGAATGAGACGTCGGACTGCACATCAGAGCACCAGCAGCGTTACCAAGGAGTCTATATTATCGCCGACCGAAACGAAGATCGAAGAAAAGCGTGGCCAGGACGGAGGCAATGATGGTTCCTCTCCTACCGAGGATAAACGATCCTCTGGGGGCACTTTGAGCCCCGTGGCCACACAACCCCCACCGGCGATAATTGTCAGTCCGACGCCGGATGACGACGACGATGAAGAAGCTGGAGTCGATGCAGAGGACGAGAAAAGGAGGGAAGAGGTTTTGGTTTAGGATTAAAGGGAGGCGCATGAGCATTGGTCCCATCGAACGGGGGGCATGGCGCCCAACCTATTGTACTAGGATTGAGTTGGATGGAAGCATTATCATGTCGAGTCTTGTTCAACTTACATGCCAAAGATACCCCCGAGCAGAATAATTGCCCCGAACAGGAGGAAGACGGCATTTGCTGGGGTTGGACTCGGGTTTAACCGAGCATATTTGTATCAGGGCGGAAAATACTCTTGTGTAGCTATAACAAATCATCAACGGCCGGCAAGGAAGAGAGAGACGGTCACTGAGCGTGGCGTTTCTCACCATTCGTTGTAAGAGAGGATCAGACAATGCTTGGATGTGTCCGACGTAGCTCGTGAAGATGATGGAGGAAGCAATATCAAAATCGCCCAGTCTATCGACCACCTCACCAGGTCCATCCCGTCTATCACGCAAGGGCCGATCATAGTTTCCCCGGCCAGAACTTCCTCTCCCTGACTGCCCTCTCTTCCCACGCGAAATCATGGGCAAAGATGATTTCAAACTCTGCCGGCTTCTCTTCGCCTTCCACCTGGATGCCTTCTTTGGAGGCCGAGTACAGGCGAGCCAATGTCTCCTTCGACTTGGGGATGTCCACATGCATGCAGCAGTATCTGCCGGTCTCGTCCGTCCACGTCGCTATGTCGCACTCCCCCGTCAACAATCGAACATCGTGACATGAGTCCCCAGCTAGGCAAACAAATTTGGATGGGTGACTCGAGACTCTGCACAAGAGATTGACGTGGCCGGGGAGGTGCCCGGGGGCGTTGACAATATAGACACTGCCGTCTTCGAAGAAATCGATCGCATGTGGGAAGCTGGCGAATGGTTTCCATGAGAATTGTGAGTCTCCACCATCCGGAGGAGGTAATTCTATCGTTCTTTCTAGTGGGAGCAAATCCGGTTCAAAAACCATATGTTTCCCCAAGTTGAGCTGGGTCTTCCCACTAAGCAGATCGAGAGCGCCATTGCCCACGATGAACTTGGTCTTATCGTCATCGAAGTCCTTCGGAAGTCCGACGTGATCGTAGTGAACATGGCTGAATATCACGTAGTCAATGTCATTCACACGAAGACCCCCGGCTGCCAGTGAAGCGACCGCATCTGGACGTGTCGACACTGGTCCTCGATTCGCCAGGTGGGCAGTCAAAGCTGGCGGGTAGAGGTCGAGCTCCCGCCTCATACCCAGGTCGAAGACAATTCGCGTGACCTTTCCGCTTTTTGCATCTTTGTGCTGTATCAAAAATGACAAGGATGGCACAGTTTTTTTGGCAACAGGGTCCGCTGGAACCACAAAGAATCGTTCAGGGATTGTAATATGGCCGGTGCTTAGGGCATGTACCGACACAGTCGCCATCTTGATCGTAATATATCGGTGGTACTTGGCGGAGCAGGGATCAAGCAATGCGCATGAGAATGTCGTTAAGAGGTGCACCTGTGTGGCAGAGCTTGAGTATCTTGTACCACATCGGGCTCGAGGCTAAGTCGTTGCTTAGATCTTCCCCGCACCAATGTGTGCCCAGAGTCACCCGCGGCTGAGTTGGTTGCGGGACGTTAGATGTGAGGGGAAGTGGATTTCGATCGTGTACGTAGCGGAGTTTGTAATGGCGGATGTAGGCTTTGGGGAGCGTTTCATCGGATAAAGGACTGGCGATATAGGCCGTCTGTGACTGTAGAACTTCCTCAGGCACCTCAGCCTCGTGAGGGGTACGACAGCATTTGACGCTGACAGTTCCACGAGCGAAGAGCCTGATTCCAATTTCCCTGCTGGTGCTGCCAAATCTTTATTGTATCATGTGGAACATGATCGCGGAGGCATGGCAGAGGAGACTCCACCAAGGAGTCGTCACACATGATGTGGCTTGTTCCGCTGTTTATTGGCAACACTTGGGGGCACGAATCGCAAGGCAGACAAGGATGATTCGAGATCGCTGATGGCTGCATCCGAGACATGCTTGATGGGTCCGGAGTTTGGTCCTCCTTTCCTGTCCCTGTTGACGTTCTGTTTCGGAGAGACAGGAGAGAGATTGTTGTTGTTATCCGTTCGGGAATGCTGTCTTCGATGACCTCCGGTGGAACAGATTTGATCGGAAGTGGTTGACACTCTTCTCCGGCGACTTTCGTGGAGCATGGAAGTCGACTTGTCAATGCCAGTGTCGACAATGCGGAAGTTGTAGATCTTAGGGAACAGATGTTTGTCAATCAGATGGAGGCGACGTTTCTGCGGCGTGGAACACTTTCTGTCGCAATCTTCGACGAAGCAAGCATATGTCTTCTCACCTTTGGCTTGAAGGGCCTCGCGGAAGGTATTGTGGTTCTCGTCGATGTGCAGGGCTAGGAAGTGAGCAGTAGGGAAATTTTTACCGCAAGAGGTGCAACGATTGGAATGGTCTTTGGCATAATGCACCTCGAAATCTTCGATAGAAGCAAAGTCCAGGGTTTCCCGGTGAGGCGGTAGAGAGCACTGCATGACCGGCATGACTGGCAGAGCAGCGACCGTGGTTACAGCACTGAATTTTGCAGAAAGAGGAGATTGAGATTCTTCTGCCGCAGAACTGGCGGTGTCGCTGCTGGAGCAAAGGGCCGAGGACTCGCGTGATCGCTTGACCATGGCGGTGTAAGTACCCGGATGATGGGGATGTATCTGGGTCTGATCACCCCTACTCACGCTTCAAGATGATGACTTTCCCCTTACATGCCTAGATAGGCCCGAAGGTATCGAACATCTTTGAGGTTACGATTGTTCGATGAGAGATGCAAGAGTAACGATGGCGATGAAATGGTCTTGGGTCGTGGACAGGGATGAGGCCAGTGAGAAAAGAATCATGGCAGACTGCGTACAAGGGAGGGAAGTGGCCTGCGCTGGTTGGATCTCAGGTCGATGCTAACCAAGCCAGAAAGGGCAACAGCGGTGCCTAACCAGCCAGTGTCATCCCCAATAGTCGCGCCTAGGCCTGGGTGTCAGGTACATTACTAGACCCACCAGGCCTCCACCTTGATGGTGATTGGGCGCCCCTGGTGGTCCCGATGAGCCTGATCCGCCCTGATCAGCCGGGCGAGCTCCCCTTCTCACTCGTTACTCAGGCACCCCCCCTGTCTCTCCACAGTTGCTTCATCCTGTTGTTACAAGCGCCTCGTTTGTCTGTTGCCTCAGTCTCCTTGTGCTGCTTGTTGGTCGTAGATCGAGTGTTTCAGACTCTGCAGCCACGATCCATGAACGACATCGACGTGACAGTGCCACGATCAAGCCAGTCTCAAAGCCGCCCGGAGTCGTCATCCATCTTGCATCCGGCCATCTATCCCAAAGGCACCTGCGAACGCCGAAGCCTCAACGTCTCTTCCTCCCGTTTGCCTCCTTTCCCACTGCTCAACGGCCACTAGCAATTACGGTTTAGCAGACACGTCCACAAAGTGCTTTGTTCAGCAGCCTCTCACGTACCCTGCGTTGTCTCATTCAACACTGCTTGTTTCCTTGTCGCTTGCCTCCATCAGGCTGAAACTACAGTCGTGACTTATCCGTCCTTTGTCTTTCCACCTCCCACTCACATTCTTGCTCGCATGCCGGCCATTAAATAAGAGAAGGAGCACGTCTCCCTATCTCCTCATTATCACGAACGTGGGTTGCAGGAATCGACGCAAATATGCTTGCCTCCAAGCCACCGTTTACCGCCAACACCGGAAATCCCCAGCAGATGCTCGTCCGCAACTTCTCCGAGTCTTCGACCAGAACGCAAATGACCTCGATGGCTCTGCAAGACGGCCTCTTTACCTCCCCAACAGATTCTGAATTCTCCGATGTCTATGACGGGCTGGACTCGATAAGGGCGTGGGACGAGAAAAAGGTGGGAGAGTGGCTGCACTCGATCCGCTGCGGACAGTATGAACCTCTTTTCAAAGCGAACAACTTCACAGGAGAGAGTTTACTCGAATGTGACCAGAAGATATTGTCAGAGATGGGTATCAAGAAGATTGGTGACCGCGTGCGAATCAATGTGGCGATTAAACAGCTGCGGAACAAGTCATCCTTGTTACGCTCCAGGAGAAACCGAGATAGCCTTGCTATCCTGGATGGCATTGCTGGAACCCCCTCCTCTTCGGACTCTCCTCGAACACACGGGTCTAGGTCACACAATGGTAGCGGCAAACGTTTCTCCCGCCAGCTCGACTCCTCCGTCTTGCAGAATTTCAACTCGGCCAGCACAGGGTTCAAAGTCGGGTCGAGACCAAGCTCACCTCTCGCAGATGTACACAGCGCAGGCCTTCGATCACATCGCTATGCACAAAGCCCGATGGACGGTGGGAGAAACGCGTCTGGGGGAGGATACTTCAGCCAACCAGGATCAGCGAATTCCACGTCCGGCAGACGACCTGAAACTCCGCAGCTCGCAAGTCAAACCACGCGAGCAGCTCATCTCCGACAAAACTCGAGCATCGATGGCCTGACGCCTGGTGGATTGCCCTCAGGATCCCCTGTCATCAAAATCATTCATAACGGTGGGCAAACGAAGGTTGTGAATATCAAGTTTTGTCGGACGGCCGACGATGTCACGTCGACAGTGCTGAAGAAATTACACCTACCAGAAACTCATTTTCGCAACTATTGCTTTTACGTCCTCAATGGCCTGGACCCAGATCCAGGAAACTGTCGCCGTGTAAGCGACAGCGAACTCATGAGGATCTGTAATGAGTCAACCCGATCAGAGAGAAATCGACTGATCCTGAGAAAGATCAACGACGGGCCTCCCGACGTGGACGAACTCCAGAAAGCGGCCAAAATTGCGGCCGATGAATCGCAGGTTTTGCACAGCAATGCACTGAGCACAAACAACATGCGCAACCAGATCAAGCTGCAGAAACTCACGGGAGAGTCATGGCACAACATTCAAGTCCCCATCTCACCAGTTACCACTACGGATCGAAATCGAAACATTATTGCGACTGCGGATGAACATGATCGGCAGGAAGCCCAGCAACACCTCAGA